AAAGAGATTAGTCATGTGGGGGTGAATTATGCTGGAGAAACTGGCCTCAGATGAAAGAAAAGACAACAGTTCCTGACCTGATTTTCCACAGAATAGCTGTAAGTCTGGTGAACATCTCACTGTGAAAAGCAGCTGAATTGAAAGCGTTCATCTGACCCTATCACAGAAGCATGAAAAAGGCACAAGACTGCTTAATACAAATCTAGGTCTAAATGATAGGTGTGGAATGAAGAGATAGGTACATACAGTTCTTTTTCTAGCTCCTTCTGCTAACATCAAAGGTGTGTTTGCTTGAAAATATGTCTTGAGCACATGCTGAGTAAAGAACTCAAAGCTGGACTCCATGTTATCAGTCGTACCCTTAGCAGCAACATCCATTGTTCCCAGCCATTGACCAAGTGTGCCGTGTGCTGGGCCAACACAGAATAAATCATTTCCAGGTTCCAGAAGGACGCGATCGGATTTATTACCTGCTTTGCCAAACACAGAAGCCAGGTCTTCCATGATTTTCTTGTAAATGGAAGGATAAGAGAGTATGAAAACAAGGGTCCAAAATGCAACCTAAACAGAGATGAAAGTACTTTAAATCAGAAATATGGAACAGAATTAGAGTATCTTTGTAGCAAATCACAGAGGCAGGTGAAGACATTTTTACTTTTTTGGATGTGCCAGTCGTTGGGATGCACGGGGAGCTGTGCTTCCAGGGTAAATCCAGATCTAAGGGCTCAGATCCTGGGAGATTAGGTCTGTGTACTTATCTTCAGTGAACATTATATGGCTTTGGCTTTGAGTGTTGAAACACAGAGTCCTTTCTTTAATTTCAAATAACTAGGTGTTAAAATGAATTACTAAATCATTGTGCGTGATTAGATTTAGCTGCATGAATGGAAGAAAAATTAAATAGTAAATGCCTACTAATATTAGCAGAAATGAGGTTAAATAATTTGCAGGGCATTGTCACAGTGAGTCACACTAAAATGGGCAGGAAAAGTTTTAATTAACAGCAAAACAAGCAGTAGTATATCCCCTTTAGAAATAATTTGCTAACTGATTATGCAATGAAGTTGAAAATCAAGAAATTTAGGAAAGGAGAAAATCCTCTTAAGTAGGGTGAAGCCAGAAGGACTCGCAGCACTGCCAGGAGTCTCTCTCCTCTTGCTGAGCTAGCGGGAGATGCAGTCTGCATGCGCATCTGGTCGTGGGCCATCTGTGCTGGTGAGGGATGAGAACTCTTACTGTTCTTTCCCAAACAGCCCCACGTGGATGCAGCCCTCCTTCTGCAAAACAAATCTGGTAGCTTAGTTTTCTCGTACGGCACTTGGACACTGTGGCTTCTCTCCATGGGCTGTGGAGGGATAACTGAATTGTTTCAGATAAAAGGGTTTAATGCGCTTGTAAAAAATCCCCTTGGAAGGTGAAAGGCCTTTTTTCATCATTCCAGTCACCAGAACAGCGGTTGTGACTATTCTGAGAAACCACGAAATATCTGTATGTCTATTTACAGCTGAATATTACAGAAGTAAGTAATGATAGTGTTGTGGAAGGAATGTCAGTTATCCTGATAACAGACAGCAAGCTATGCCTCTCACTTATACCAACATGTGAATCCACAGAAACCTCACTGAAATGGATGAAAATCCTTTAGGGTAAATTGTAGTAATATCCAATCTACAAAAAACATAGATATATCCATTAGGAGTACATATAAAAATAACTCACTATCATTTTTTTCTAAATCACATCTGTAACGGACATAGCCGTGCTGGGAAGAGCTTAGTAGTCATGGTAAATAAAGGATGTTTTTGCTGCTATGGATTTTTCATCTGAGAAATTCCTATAAATGTCTTTGGTCAGCCTAAGCCGTGTTACATATATTGGGCTTATTAGCATACTATCTATATCATTAATCTGTCAAATCCATTTCTAACATAGACAAAACTTGAGCGGCACTAGAATCAAACTAATGTTTTTCTTCTCCTGAAGCAACACTGGCATTTGTACAGCAGATCGCCCAAAGTGAAAAAGCCAAATTCACTCAAGGATTTACACACAGATGAAGTTACTCTACATTATGGTTTTTATATTCTTTACAATTGCACCAGGCTATTTAAAATAGTCTCTACTCTAATACAGCCACAGTGTTTCAAAATAGAGTTAAATGCTCTTCACAGCTTAAGGCTGGGATCTTAATAGCTATGAGACATACGTTCCCAAAATGTTATGATAGGGGACAGCATAATTTAGGAAAAATACATGAAGAGCTTTTCTTCTTGTTGCTTCTGTGACATTGCAGCCTGGGTATATTTGTAGTGATGCGTGTGGGCGTGATAATCCCTTCTTTGGAATCCACGCAGTGTGTGTGACCTCTGGTTCAAAGTCCTTGCTTCCCAAATACAGGCTTCTGAACAGGGTAGAGAGAAGGTGTTTCTGATGTACTTACAGGGACAGCATTTGCTTGGGAAGCCCAGAGCATTAGGAGACCATAATTAGGAGCTAGATGTTTTCCTTGCAAGTTATCCAGGAGATGTTGCAGTAGTGTCTGTTATAAATAAAAGATAATAATGTGTATTTCCAAAAGTATATTAAAATCTAGTTTAGGGTAGGGCTTATTAGAATTCAAGGATACAACGTAAGACTAGTTTCTCAAAGAGAAGTAATGTTAGTTATGGTTTCTTGCAGTCGCAAAGTAGAGATAACAGCTGTTCAGAGAAAGTGAGACTCACTCACAGGCAGAGGGCCAGAAGTCAATGCACCACGTGAATCCCTACTTAATACTTGCACTGCCTTCCATTTTCTTAAAGTTTTTAGGGGATTTGGTTTCCTCACTCCCTATTTTTGCTTGGATGTGGAAAAAAGAAAAAAAGAAATCTCTTTTTTAATTCCTGCTCTACTTCTCTACTTTAAAGAACCTGAAAATGGGACTGAACAAGTTGAATGAATGGATATGAAAAAAATGTTCTCTCTGTTCTTGCCAAAAAGATGCTTGTTATGAAGAGGTGGTCTGATATATCAGTGAACTCCCTTGTTTCAGGTGCTTTGTTAGTGACCTAACCAGTGACTTCAATGGCTTGATACTCTTTGAAACTATAGCAACTGTGTCATGTTTTAGGATCAGCTTTTGTTTATAGTATTTCCTTAAATACAGGACAACCACTTGTTCAAGGCAAAGCTTCCTGTCCACTTTTCAGAGGGGAAACGGCTGACCTTGAATAAAAATGACCGTTCTTTTTTCCAAATTCCCACCCAATCTAAGACACGGAGTTCCTCCGCCTTCTTAGCTCCCACCATGCCCTCTCCAGCCCTCTCTTTCTTTCCATTATTCTGGTTTATTTTATGAAAGAAATTGTGGTATGTAAAGCTTTTAGGGTCTAAATAAAACCTGGTTTGTTTAATGATCTGTTCTATAATCATTCAGTAGATCAAAATTCCCAGGCCAGTCTGCCCTCACGTTTGTCAGCCGTATAGACAGAATTCCTGCCATAGCTAAGGAGAATAACCAGGGGGACAACTTATCACAGCTTTGACACAATCAATATTTAGGGTACTTGGCTTCTAATCCAGTAATCTGTTATTTTCTACTAGTCTGGCTGCTCGAGGATTTACTCACTCTACACCAGGGTTTAAAAATAGCACATGTAAGGTTTTGAAATTTCACAGCGCGGTGCCCTCAGAGAAACAACTGAAGAGATCTTTCTCTCACCTCTTCCAACTGCTTACTGCAACCGCGATACCGGAGGCTAGCAATGGGTCATAGCTCTGAACCCTTGGCTTAAAATTCCACAGAGGAAGACATCACTTCTCAGAATTGTAGGAAATAAACTAAATTGAAGAGTAAGACCCAAAATTACGGGTCTGTTCTAATGTAGGTGACAGCAATACTGGACAATGAAGGTACAGCTATCAAAGCTGACATATTTGGCTTATTTCTTCCAGCATTGAAATAATTCCTGCGCTCCATTGCTTGTCAGAATATACAACGAAGTCATCTTATTTCATAGCCTTGGATGTTTACCTTGGATGCAGTCTCTGAAGGGTTGGTCCTTTCAGCGTCTGACACTACTTTCTCAAATAATTTTAGAAGCCATTTTTTGGATTTAGACCAGTTCCTGTAAAGAAAAGCAGCAAACATGAAGTACTTAACTGAGGCAGCACAAACCAACATTTCCTTTTCCATGAGAAGGACTCACTGGTTTCTTTCCAAAAGCCCCTGGGCAGCAGTCAGTTGATGAATAGTCAAGCGTCAGTCTGACTGACAGTAGTGTTGACTGACGTGAAGAGCAGCACATCTCAGACCTTCAACCTGGCCAGACCTCATCTTGCAGCCAGGACCCGTGACTGCAAGACTCCTAAACTTTTATGTCTTTCCACTATAGGATTTCACTGTGGATTTTGACAGATTGCTTAAGTCAATCTTTTCAAGAATTACCCCTCACTAAGAAAATAAAGGCCACATTTTTAGAGCATTGTCAGTTCTCTTCAGGGTTTGGTTGCCTCTACCCAAGGTCAACTCTGTGACAGTGCAGCTGTGTAACCTGGGATTGGTCTGCTGAGAAAACAGCTAAGGTGTGGGGAAGAGTGGAGATGCCTCGCTGGGGACCCCCTCAGCTTGGGGATCATATTTAGGCTCAGGCCTTTACCCAGTTCTGCTGCTCCTGACTGGTCCAAGCTGGACCCTGTCTACCTAAGCAAGGTTGTTTCTGCTTTATGCCAGGAATATGCATGAGATGAGGTCAGAACTGCTCTGAAGCACCTAGCTGAAAGCCTGCCTGACCCAAGGGCACACCATCAATAGACACAGCGTATCATCCTCCAGGGCAAATGTCTCTCGCAGTTGATATCTCAGCAAGCAAAATGCCTGTAATGGACACCACCATGTGCATCATCTCCACTCCGTTACCTCAGGAAGCACTCGGGTAGCTGAGAAGCATATTCGAAGTCCTCATCGTACTTCTGAAAATGTTCTTCAAACTCCTTGATTTCACTCTGACTTGTCGGGCAGATGCCTTTTCCAAACAAAGTGTTCACCACTGCTGGATACATGACGTGCCTGCAAGGACAAGATCCCCACAACTTACAGGCCATAGCAAAGCTGTTACAGCAGTTTTAGGTCAGGATGCAGCGTGTTGAATTGCCAACACTGGAAGTGCAGGACTCAAGCCCCACACCAGTCTGGAAGGGCTGGCACAAGGCTCCTACCTCACCCACACCCTTATCCCAGATTTTAAGCAGAGGCTGGGAGACACATGGACCTCAGGCTAGTCCTCTGCCTGTGGCTGAACTTCATCAGTTAGTGTTTGGTCACTTGAGCTGTGGCAGAAAGGCTCTGGGCACTGAGGTCCCCTTCTCCCCGTTAACCATCCCTCTTATTTCAGGTTAGCCCACGTGGACCTTCCGGGCATGGCACAATCCCTTCTGCAGCCAGACACCCTGAGAAATCCTTCCTCTGCCTGCAGCTTTGCTGGACTGAACAATGCCTTTTTTTGTTTTCTTTTTGTCTCACTCCTTCCTTGTTTGCTCCTCCATTATCCTGCAAACTCTGAGCTCCTTTCCCAGGCCATGTCTCCTGAGCTCTTCACCTCCGAGAAACCCTTATGCAGTCTTTGCTGGGTTCCAGCTACTGCTAAATATACATTTCAAGCAATAGCTCTTTCACTTTCTTGCTTTTTAAAAGATCATAAGGGAGATGGAGACACCTGCTGGCTTTACGGATTTAATTTTGAGGCAGCTAAATGATTATGCAGGGCACTGCGTTCCAATCCTTTTACCCTGCCTTGTTTGGCAAAATTCCCCAGCTAATCCAAATTACAGCAATGACAGGTGCTCAGGGGTTTAGCTGCAGTAAAAAGTTGTATTTTAGCTGTATTATGCAGGAAACGTCAGCAAAAGACAACCTGGACGTGAGATCGTAGAAATAGGTGCAAGGCAAAGGCAACTGTAGTCCTTATGGGCAGGCAAGATCGAGGGGTGATCAGGAAGGAGGAGGAGGAGTTAAAAGCTCTGTTATTGTCACATTAAACTGTCAGTTAAGGGTTATTTTTACATGAAGGATAAAGTTCTGGCAGCAAAATTAGTTGCAGAAGTCTTCTTTAAGTTTTAGGCCAGGCTTGGTCCAAAACATCCAGGGAAAGTTTTCATCCTACTGAAGAATAAACATTTTGACTGTTTGTAAGTTCTTTATAAACATGTACAGCTTTTATCCCATCTTTTGGGAAACAGGGTTTGTTGGAAAATGCAGTGTTTTCTGTTTTCGTCCATAATAGGTAATTCAGATGTTTCTCCTAGCTAGGAGAAACATCTTTAGATGAAACCCTGTGATCCACCTGAAGCTGTGAAGCTGTGATGAGGATCCTGACACAGCTTTTCTACGACTTGTGAGCCTGAGCTCCATCTCTGCTCCCAAATAGGATACCCACGCGTTAGAGATGTGCTGCAAAACTCCCTTACCTTACCAGGTCATTGAGGTCCCCCGTGCCCTCTGTGCCCAGGTGTGCCATGTGCTCATGTAGTTCCTTGCACAAAGGGCCTGTGAACATGTGCAAGTTAGAAGGACCCATTTTTCCCTTCATCATGCTGTAAAGGTTACCATGGTTCTGATAAAATGCTTCTGCAGGGACGGAAACTAAGTACAAAAAGAAACAGAAACATATGGAAAGTAGATGAAGTCGATTTTCAATGAAAGATAGAGTGAAAACTTTTATACCTAACTCGTGACTCTGATTTAAATGTCTTAACCCTCATTTTCCTAGAATGAAATTCCCAGAAAGCTTCCTTCTCATTCTGTAAAGAATTTGGTGAGCCCTTTGCTTCTACCAGTCCGTGTAACATCTTCCTGCCTCATGAAACTTCAGCGCCAGAATCAACAATCCACAGATTTCCCCCCAACTTCAGTGCAGGTGTACAGAGATGTGCACAAAACTGACTGAAATGAAAAATAAATAATCCAAGAAAAAACAGTTTGGTTCTTCACGCTACAGTACATCCTCTCAGCTGTGCCAGGAGAGGCTGGGAGCGCTGGAACTGTTCAGCCTGGAGAAGAGAAGGCTCAGGGGGATCTTAGCAGTGTGAGTAAATATCTGGTGGTGGGAGTAAAGAAGATGGGGTGAGGCTCTTCTCAGGTCAGGAGGCCATGGCCACAAATGGGAGTACAGGAGATTCCACTGAGACACAGGAAAGTTTTTATTGTGAGGGTGGTCAAACACAGGAGCAGGTTGCCCAGAGAGGTTGTGGAGTCTCCATCCTTGGAGATACCCAAAACCCAACTGGACACAGCTCTGGGCAACCTGCTGTAACTGACAGAGCTCTGAGCAGGGGCTTGGATGAGGCGATCCCCAGCGGCGCCTTCCAGCCACGGGGATTTGGTGAATCTGTGATTTAATCTCTCTGCCAACTTGCATCTCTCATTTCACAGTCCAAAATTGCCAAACTGCTCAAAGTAATTCCTGCCGGTGCAATTCCACGTGCGTATCAGCGTATGAGCTGATGGAGCATGCCACTGGCGATGGGACAGATACCTCTTCCCTTTCTAATGACTGTTGTACTACAGGGTAACAACTGATTATTGCTACAAGCTAATTTTCAAATTAAGTGATAGGACAACATACTATTGCTCCAAACCTGTTGAACCTAGTCGGAGTGTCAAGCCTCAGAAAAGGAGCTGATCCCAAACTGGGGTTGCTCGATGATAAAAGCAGTAACAGTCCCTGGTTGAGAAACCTTTGATCCCTTGAGACTGAATCCAAATCGCTCAGCAGGCTAACAGTGCTGGATCCACAGGAAGGAATTTCATTTCTCCTTAATTTTGTTACATGGTCATGGGGTAAGATAAACATTTAAGGCATGATGAAAAAGCCAATGGGCTTTGGATTGGGCTTTAATGTTTCTGGGTAACTAGATTTAATTTACATTAAAAAAGATGTAGGTCTTACTTACCTGCGTTCTCGACAGCTTGTTGTACTGCCTGTTCAAAATTTAAGTCTTTAGAATTAAAAAATGCTTCAGCTCCTTCTTCCTCAGTCACAAAAGTAAACCGTTTTCCCAGAGCGAATATTGTGAATACGGGCCCGTGCTGGAACAAAGAAAGATTTCACGTGACTGTACTGTCAACACATTTGACGGGGGGCCCCCCAGCACTCCAGTGCTGCCCAGAGGTCGGGGGGACACCTGGTCCTTCCTGCTCTCTGTACGCCCTGGCTCAGAAGTGCACAAAGATGAACATGAATCAGACCAAAATTTGTAGATGTACACACCAGAAGGGAACATCGCAGGGGCCTGCCTGACCTCTTGCACAGTAGAAAAGATTCCTTCTCTGAGATTAATATTTTATATTTGGATTACAATACAGTTCAAACAATACAACCCACCTGGATTTCAAGAACCCAAGTGACAGATTATCTACTGCGTCCCTTGGCTGCCATAGCAAAGTGCCCACATTGGAAAAATCCATAATCCTACCTATTTCAATCTACATTTTTAAACAAAAACTCTCCACTCCATCTTTTTAATATTTTTTTTTAATTTTCTGGTTTAAAGGTTGTGCTAATACCAACAATTTCTTTCTTGTACAGGTTTTGAAAGATTAATATCAAAATAGCTAACAAGCTTTGAGCAGAATAGATGGAGTTTGTTGAGACACATTCAGGGAAGGGTTTTGATGCCATAAATCATTCTTTTGTTTTCTCTTAATCTAATATCCTAGAGCCCTCTCAAAACTTTCAGCAATAAGTATTGGCTTCTGAATTCCTACCTTATGAAAAAGATCACTGATATTTGTAGATACTGTAAACTAGCAAATGAATGTGTAGTATCTACTGGCTGTCAGATTTAAGGATAAAAATCAAAATTAGGAAATGAAGCATCTTTAGCATCTTTTTCTTAGTGAAGGCGATTTCTGCTTACAGTCAAAAGCCTTGGAAATCAAAAGCCCAGCACCTAGTTACATGCACACCACCGTCTTTTAGCAAAAGTTACTGTACATATGGAAAGGTTTGGGGCTTTCATAAAGTCTGTAGACACATTAAGGAACTTGATTTTCTTTTCCAGGTTACATTGCTGCCAAGGGTGAGAAAAAGTTTTCTGTGGATCTGCTTGGATTACTAAACAGCCTTGAATCCACCTTGCTCACATGGTTTATGCCACTGACTTTAACCATTTCTTTTGTTGTCTGCATTGTAAAGCCTGCTTGATCAAAATCTCTTTGAAGCCAAGGAAAAGACTCCTCTTGACATCAATTGCAGTTTGATTGTGTCCTTCAACCGTAAATTGTTAAAGAAAGAATGACTGTTTAAACTCCCTGGGTGATAAATAAAATATTGTTTTAATGACAGGTAAATTGCTACGGTTGCTTTTTTATGGATAACAGCATGTCCTCATCATCAGGCTGGATAAAAATCAATGAATTTGTACTGTGTTTGTTTTTAAATCAGATGTTTAAAATTTCAAATTAACATTAAAATGTACTTAAACTAATTTTAAAATAAAATTTAATATGAACTAATAGTAACCTGCAATAGCACTTAATTATTCAATTAAGGTCGCACTCAATTAAAGATTGGAACACTTTCTTTTCGATGATTACATGGGAGCAAGATACCTAAGCTCCCGTTATAGACAATCGAGATCGAGTCTATGTGGTCTGGGGAGCAAAAAACCCGATTAATCTGACCAGCTACCGCACACCGCTGTTCGTGAAGGTGAGCTGAACTGCCCGCAGACTCCACAGAGAGGACTGACTATGTGTCCACTGACCATCAATCTGTAAAGCCTGGATGTCTTACTTCCCTGTAAACACCAATGCAAACAACCTGGTTTTGAACATCATCCAATTTACCGCCATCTATTTAAAATAATTAAAATTGAACCAGTATTAAAGTAAAAAAGCTCCATAAAGGACCTCCAAAACAAGTCAGATTAGTTGAACAGCACAGTGATGGTGGATATTCAAAGACACTTTCAGAAAGCAGAATTTTGTGTCCAAACAGAAAATTACAAATAAACATTTTACCTGATAAATTAAATGTAAAATTACAGTACAAAAAAAAGGTTTGAGGATCAAACTGCTAATGGTAATCCCCACCTCCAATAATAAAGACTTTTCCAAACATAACAGAAGTCTCCAGTGTGTTGCTGAGCCTGATAGTTCAACAAGGCCAAGTGGAAGGTCCTGCATGTGGGTTGGCACAATCCCAAGCACAACTACAGGCTGGGTGAGGAATGGATTGAGAGCAGCCCCGAGGAGAAGGACTTGGGGGTGTTGGTTGACAAAAAGCTCAACATGAGCCGGCA